TGAACCTCCAATGGTGGCGGTGAGATCTTTAGACCTCAATTTGCTGCAGAATCCTATCAGTCCAGTAGCGTACATCATACTTATGCTTTGTTATTTCACCATGATGGTTGGTAAATCGGTCGGATCGGGGGGGTCCTCCCAGGCCGATCGATCCCTTGCCGTCCTCCTGCGACATGTTTCATGTGCTTCGGACGCTCATATGCCACAGCCCGGCATTCTTTGAGATACATCAGTAACGAGTGCAGCATTGATTGGCTCCTCCAGACCGCTCTTCCTTCGCATGACGCTCACTTTCCAACAGCTTAACCGTCCCGTCAATAACTTCCATCATGTCATATCTCTCATTCGCTCACGTTCAAATTTGTGTTGATCTGCCTCCTCTGGAATCATTTCCCAGTAGAGCGACGATATGTCGCGCAGAGTCTGCAGGGACTTGGAAGCATCAATGAGTCCGAGTGAAGATCGTGCTGCTAATAATTCTCCAGTCTATCACGTTCAATGCGTGGGCTCAATACGACGGAGAGGACGTGAGTTTTCGTTCACCACACCCTGTGCCATAATGTACTGTTACAGTTGCTTTGGCCAGTCATATGCTGCATTATGATACATAGAAAGACACAAGTGAGACGTATAATACACGATACTTCATACCACAAGACAAATACATCTAGTTACATGCAATCATCAACAAAGTTGGAAAGTCATCAGTCATCAGCTCGTATCAAGAGTTTGGTGCGTCCATTTACAGCATCACCGTCTAGAAGTGCTCCTTCCAGAACTTGAACCGGATGTCCCTCGTTGAGGTGGACATGGCCGCCTCCCGGATTTGTCTGGCAGCGGCATTGGGTCCACAAAAATAAACTCCGATTTCTGTAGTCGAATTCCCATGCACACCCGATAGGTAGGTTTGGTCTTGTAGACCATCACGCATGGCAGTAAATAGGCGTTTGAAGTCCGGACGGCCAAAGTTCGTCCTACTTCGCAGCTCCGTAAGTGGGTCGACAGCCTGACCGACAGAATTGAGGAAAATATTAGCGGCTGTGTCATCATCCAGTCGTTGTGTGAGGTATGTGTGGATGCGTAAGAACTCGGCCTTCCCACTGTACTCTGCTTCGGCTGCCGACTGAGATTCAAGAGAGGAGAGCAAGGCTTGGAACCATTCGAAGGACGATGTGTCCCTACAGACCCAAATGAACTCGACGCGACGAAGACGGCCGGCTAGCTTAGGGTCGGATCGTAAGTGCCAAATGTTCTTGAGGATCGATGCCCATGGTGTGACACCTATTCCCGTCCCGATGAGGACGGCCACCTCGTTGTCGAAAACATCGTCAGCCGGGGCTCCGTATGGTCCATCAACGCGCAGCCTAGGCATCTTTTGTCCGTTATGCAGGGCGACTTCATACATTCCCAGCGGATCGAGTCCTTCCATATCTCTGGCCTGCGCTGGTCCGCATCCTAGTGCGTCACCCAATGCACGAGTGAAATCACCGACTTGGCGGACGTGGATGCTAATGTACGGATCGAATGGACAGGACGTGATTGTAAACGGATGCCATTGGTTGCTAGATACATCGGGTGATTGAATGAAGAGCCATTGACCAGCCTTGTACTTCATACTATCCTTGCGGAACTGAATCTCCATGGCATCTGTGTATCGTTGTTAGGAAAATCCAGAAGCTTAACTCGGCAGATGTAGGACTTACCATACGGATGGCGAACCACCTTTAGGATAACGGTGTGGCGTCTTGCTCGGATTTCGCGGTACAGCCTTTCAAGCATGTACAAGCCTCCAGCCACTAGTTCCCACCTCCAGCCTTCGTAGCCTAAGCAGTGATTCCAGAATCTAGACCCAGCAAAGGGTGAGATAGGCTCTTCTGTGTCTCGCACGAAGCAGCCTGTTGCATGTGTATACAATGCTAGAAGGAACGGTACGAAAAGATGGTGCGTATACCAAAACGTCTCAAAAGATTGTTGCCGGATCCGCTGGTGGGACGTGGTGTACATCAGCATCATGCAAAGGAGCATGACATGTCCTGTAATCCCACCAGCTTCTGTGTAATGAATTTGGACTGCTTTAACGGGGCGGATTTGATCTTTTTCGATATTGTAAAAGCTGATTCTGTCAGAGCAATGACCTCGTGGTCGAGATAGGTTGGCTTACTTCACGTAATGCGCCGCCGCATGGACTATGGTGAAAAACAAAAGGGCATAGGCGACTTGACGATGAAACCATACCGTTTCATCCAGTGGTAGCCATCGCACCCTAGGTCTTATTGTTTTAACAAGATTTCGGCACATGGGCAGCAAGAGGAGGGTGGCATCGCATGTCAACACTAGCCCAGCGCCCCGTGATATCCAAACGGAATACTGGAGGGTATTGAGCATAACCAGCCTCTGGTCCGAAGCCTGAATATACCTAAGGATTCTCAGTACATATATGGGCAGTCATTGGGAACCGTCAGACTTACCACCCCACTGCAAAAATGACCAAATGTAGCGCCCAAAAGATGGAGTAGAACCAGACCTTTGACGCAGTAACGTATGAGCCCCAAGCATGTTCCATGATGGTAACAGGGCAGTATAGGCATGTAGTGACTTTTCAACAAGGCTCTATCATTGACCTGCAATGACCCGTTTTCAAAGGAGTGAATGGATTGAGTGCACTTTTATCGAACTTCCTTTCGAAGGCGCCCGTACCATAAGTGAAAGGAGCGAATTTGGTAGACACTCTACTCTAGGAATTTATAAATAGAATCCTCCCTCCAGAGCTGGCGCTTCGCTCCAAGTATCCGCTAAGTTAAGCCTGCGCAGAGCGACAGCCTGTGGCGCCAGTAGATAAGGCGCTTCGAACGCTGAAAGGAGCCGTAGGCACCCTGAAGTCCAGGGGACTCACGGAGATCACAGGTTTCCCCTTGGCTTATCGAGAATAATGGCTCATGAATAGGATTTATCAGGTGCTAGAGTCAATGGCCGGAGGTTCAGGATGCGGTAGAAGCCGACGATCACAGAAGGCTGGGACCAATTGAGGAACAAGGATCAGATTTGATTATATCATTCTTAGTTTTAAACGGGCCCAGGTCCTGAATGGTAATCTCTGAGTAGGGTGGTGTGGGGTTGATGTCAGTTGAGAATCCTGTGTCAAGCGTCTGGTACCCGGAGATACGGTTTTGGTTGCAGAAAGGAGGGGAAGAATTGATGAGGAACACGAGGATCAGGATTTCTGCTTCTATATTTACCCCAACCCCTGCGCTGTGCGGACTTATGGTGCCGCTAGGATAGCCTGCAGGGAGCGGATCGCCCGGTTGGATACCACTATCCCCGAACTTGCCGTTTACAGGGCTCAGGCGAAAATGAGATGGAGCAAAGACCGTCAGGCGTTGAACTATCGCCTGATGCGCCAGATTCTTGGTGAAGAGAGCTCGAGTCTGACCGTCCTCTGTTGACTGGATAGATGATCCTTCCACTCGTATCTCAAGGCCATAACCGAGTGCGCTCCTCAATCACGCAGCCGTTTGAGTTTTGCTTTGCAGTGCACTCGTTAAGCTGTCGCGCGCGATTGGCGCACTTAGTAGTGACATGATAGGTTAAAGTCCGTCTTTTCTTGACCTACTGCCATCTCCTCATCTCCCGGTATCCGCCACTAACCTTACCATGTGGCACCGGGATTGTGAGTTGCTATCAATGGCCCGTAAATCCATAATTGATTCTTCTATATTCCTCCGGCTGCTCCGTTGATTCGTTTTGTGAAGGGTGGAGTCTCGGCCAATTCCAGCCTATGAGAAGCGCTGAGCAGGCGCGCATCCCGTCACACGCGGTCAAAGCGGCCATCGACATGGGGAGCGCACCTTTGTGACGACAGGAATATGATTCAAGATGCAAATTAAGGTCTGGTTGCTACCAAATATAGCTCTCGCATTTTGAGCCAAGACTTTCATGATCCAGATACTAGTCCAAAGCAGAATCATCTCCGGAATTCGAATGGAAGACCCTGGTATTTCCTAGTGGTGAGTCCTTGGCGGCGGTTGAGCAGGGAATCAGACGATATTGCTGGGGCATATTTTTAAGTTCTTGGCCCTGCACGGTTGAGGTTCTCATCACATCTAGTGACGACTAGATTGGCACTCGGACCGTGTGGGTAGGAACGGCGCTATAATTATCTTGAGTGATAGGGAGCTGCGAAAAGACGGTGAGTTGTCGAGTAGCAGCCTTGATTTCAGTATAGGTTTCCCCGTGATCTAGAGATTCTTCTTCCATCTCGGGGATTTATTTGAGTATTGCCTCTTCCCGTAGACGTATATATTAAGTGGTAATAGTCGACTTGACAGCGGGTATTTATGGCTGTGTAGCAGTAGGCGCCCGATGGAGATCATAGCAAGGACTGGGGGGCAGGGACAAGACCGACTACCTGGGCACCAATTTCCCCGCTTCTCAAAGTCTTCACAAGATAGTCCGCCATCAGAGGAGCTTGGATGCTGGAAGCCCCAGCCGGGCGCTTCGTAGCACACGGTCCAGCCACTCAGAAGTAAAAGCTCCGCAGCCAAACGGGGTGTGATGCACTAGTGACCTGACGGGGCGTGACGGTGGAGCGGAGGATGCAGGAGATTTGCGGCAACACACTTTAGCGGCCGATGCATCTCTGTCAGTTCCACGTTCTGCTTCTTCTGATTGATCCGACCAGCCATGGCGCTCCCAGGATTATTCGCACTGTCACGCTACACCGAGCGACCAGATCCAATCATATGGTATTCTCGTGAAGAAGTCAAGGGCGTGACGATCGCTTCCAGCAGAGAATGGTAGCTGATTGGATTAGGAAAAAGAGCGGTTGATAAAACGCATCCACGTATCACAGGCGTTGAGAGGGGGAAGCGCGGAGGACGGCGAGTCCGTTGCATTCGGCCTATTGTGAAGAAGATGCAAATCAGGTGGTCTCCTCCGTTGGCGCCGGAAGCTACTAATGTACGTATTGCTGCTCTTTCCCCCTCCATGGCCACCATCGGCTACCTGGTCTATCAGCTGAAGTTTGCTCGGTCATGCAGTACATGATTATTTGAACCGATACTATCGCATTTTTCCTGCATTAAGCTTATGTGGTGATGTGACTGTTGTGATTTAAAGCTTATCCGACTTAACACACTACTACTTACTATTACTTCTCCTCACGAGCAAACTGCCGGGGAAGAATTTACCAACCTTGACCTTGCATCGCATCTCTCCACCTGCCATGTCATTTGGAACGAGCATAGCACACACAACATTGATCGGTCGGGTGGATGGTTGAGGGATCCCCTACGGTCGAAAAAGCAATCCTTGTGTTTATGAGGCAACAACAGCATTGTGTCTATACTTGAGTAACGAGCTCTTTCGCCGGACGGAAGACGCTTGAACTCCCCACTATACGTCAAAACCTGCCTACCATGGGAAGACTTATCAAAAATCACTGGGCGCGACTGATTATCCTCACAGCCTCAGCTTGTATGCACCACCTCTTCATCTACTTCATATGAAGATGCTAATCTGAATGACTCAATGTACAGACCAAATTGGCGGGGCGATCGAAGGATTTATCTGGCCGAAGGTGTTCTGGGACTTTATGACGCTCAATCTGAACGGCGCTGTGAATCCGGTCCCTATTCTTCAGATTCTCAACCTCCTCTTAGGTCTACTCGGACTTGCATGGGAATGGCCTTTGAAATCTGTCGCCGGCTCCCTCGCGCACCGCAGCATCGAATTCCGATTGATCTTCTATCCCCTCAGCGCTCTCCTCTCCATGCTCCTCTACCAGGGAACGGACCCTGCTCTATACTATGTTATTGGAATCGGGGTGTATTTCTGGGCCTACAGTGAGGGCGAGGTATGTATACACCAATTGATTTCCCCATAAACATGACTGATGGATAATAGGTCGTTTGCCCTGTACCATGGACCCTCCCGAAACGAAGCGAATACAAGGTATAGCATGACTTGTACCAACACGAAACCTCACACTTGACGACCACGACATGATATGATTTTACGAAACGATACCCAGCGATGCTAGTATATCGGTAATATGTGCTTTATGGAGTTTGGACAGATAAAAGGTCCTCTTTCAGTCAGCGATGACTGTCCAGCTATTGACCTGGATGTGGCAGTTATAAGGACTCTGTTGCCTGGATGCCAGAGTATATGTATCTGAGTGTATTATAGTTCTTTTTTATCTCAAAACGAAGATAATTCATTTTACAAGTTCATGCCTTCCATACGATAGATATACTATCGCCCATAACCGACAAAGTAACACTCTACAACCTGCTAAAAGAGTCACTACACTCCAAGACAGCTATACATCTAAATATAGACAAGCCTAGTACTATGCCTAATCCGCCATCCACCAGTACTTTCAAAGCCTTGTTGCCACTTTCCCAAGGCAAGATCACGTGATCATGCGTCCAATACTACCCAAAACGGTTAAGCGTCTGGAGCGCTCCAGACCGAGGAACAAGAGATGAGGCAAATCACCAGGTCCCAAGGAAAAGCTTTTAGCAATCCCCTGAAATGATAGCTATATAAACCGATCAACATCACTAACCGACGAAAATCTTGCAGCATTACTGTCACTAACACCGGCAGAGTCTTCCACCCAGACAGCTAGCGAACAGCATGCCCCTCGTCGAAGACAGTCCTCGCGAGGACAACAACACCCAAATACCCCCTACAACCCTCAACCACGATAATGAAGCTCATAACGAAGAACACGATGACGATAACGACGTCCCCGTGAACAAAAAGACCAGCTTCAACGGCCGTCTCAACCAATACTTCCACACCGCGAAGCCCACATCCTCAGCGCCACCGGCAATCTCGTCCACAAAACAAACCTCTACCAGGACGACTTCCTCTCCTTTAAAACGCAAACGAACCACACCACCAACATCAACATCAACAACAACATCAACACGAATAACCCGCTCCCGATCCCGATCCTCCACCTCAACCCGAACCAGCACCACCTCCAGCACCACCTCCAGCACCACCTCCTCCCCCCGCCCACGCAAACCCACCACCCCATCATCAGCATCCACCTCCCTCCTCACTGACACCATCCCCCCAAACCTAACCCTCCTCCTCGTAGGCGTAAACCCTGGAATCCTAACCGGCATAACAGGCTACGCCTACGCGCACCCCAGCAATCTCTTTTGGAAACTCCTGCACTGGTCGGGAATCACACCGATCCGACACCCGCCCTCGGATACGTACAAACTCCCAGAGTCATATAACATCGGGAACACGAATATCGTGGAACGGCCGACGCGGGACGCGAGCATGCTGAGCAAGAAGGAGATGGATGCGGGGGTGCCGATTTTGGAGGCGAAGGTGAGGGAGAAGAGGCCTGAGGCGGTGTGTCTTGTGGGAAAGAGTATTTGGGAGGCGGTTTGGAGGGTTAAGGTGGGCCGGGGGATTAGGAAGGAGGAGTTTAGGTATGGGTGGCAGGATGAGGGGATGAATTTGGGGCGAGTGGGTGGTGATGATGGGGGGTGGGAGGGGGCGAGGGTTTTTGTGGCTACGACGACGAGTGGGTTGGCGGCGGGGATGTCGGTTATGGAGAAGAGGGAGGTTTGGGATGAGTTGGGGAGGTGGGTTGTTGAGAGGAGGAAGGTTTGGGAGGGGAAGAGGGAGAAGGGTGGTAGTGATGGTGTGAAAGTAGAATAGAATAGACGTAGAATCTTGTCTTTGGGTACAATTATAGAATATAGAATACAAATTGACCATGATACATTTCATTCATTTCATTTCATTTATCAATTACCCTCTCTTGTCCTAGGAAGATAGCTAGGATAGACAAGTAGGTAGGTACATTTCATCCGCTAGTAAAAAAGCATAATCATGTGCTCGATCAGTCGATCATCATGCTACTAACAATCCTTGGCCCCCCATCTTGCAACATCACGCCACACACCCATCAAGGGAGGGGAGGAAGGAAACAGGCCAGCCAGCCAGCCAGCAAGGGCGTAAGTAATAACATGGGCGCACGAATCTATCGATAAGCAGGACCATTACGGAAGTTGGTATCACCTTGTTGTTCGCGAGCCTGTTACACCACACACATATCAGTTAGCATCAATTCCTCTTCGAATGTGATATTGAGGGTATACATACAATAGTAGACTGATACTCCCCACGCTCCAAAATCTGAGTTATAACGTCGTCTTCATTGGCAGTTCCGAATTCATTCTCGAGACTAGCCTTGCTAGCTCCGTCGAGGACGCCTTGGGCTCCGTGCCTAAAGGTAATTCCTTGTTAAGATCTGCTCTCACTGCTGATAATAGCATGAAGACAAAAGGGCTTCCTTACTTGTGAGTAACAAAGATCTTCCAGCCGTTAAGGACATCCGCCAGAGGGACGGAGCGGTCACCGCGCCATCTGTTCAAGGCGTCGTGGTCATCGACGAAGACGATGAAGTCGTCGGATGCACCCTTGTAGAACATCTTGGAGGTGGGGTCGTTGTGGCGAGGCATGTTGGTGGTGTGTAGTGTGTAGTGGGTTTGTAGTGATTTAGAGACAAAGATGGAAGAACGGTCTAGTTTCTTTCTTTCAATGAAGCTGCTAGAGATGATGGGAAGATAAGGAGGAGAGAAAGTCGAGATGAAGTGAGTTGTAAGAGTGTCGTGTGAGGTGAGGGCAGATGACGTCACCACGATGCTACCGGAAACAAAGGCGGGCAAACGGTGGCAGGAAGAGCAATTGAAGTGAGGAAAGTCGTGCAAAGGGTTTGTTGATGGCTAGGATAGTGTTCGTGTGATAATTGAGTTGATTGGAATTGATCTATTTCCTCTCTCTCTCGAATATCGCAGGCCTTTAAATACATCAAGGCGGGTGTGCCAACGGGAGCACCGACGTCATCATCGACTGATGCTGCGGATGCTCTGCACTTGCTCTTGCGCTTCTGGTTCACCCGGTGGAGAAACATGGCTCCCTATGGAATTCAATTCCCTCATCCGCATCATCATCATCATCATTCAAGTCACAGACATTATTGGCATTCTGGCATTCTGGCTCGCTAATGCTACTAATTACGTCTCGCTTCGCCCCGGTCAATCTCTCCTCCCCCACTCTCCTCAGAATCGACACGAATCCCTAAGAACCCCATACATATTCCACACACTTGTACTCACGTACCTGGCCATCTGATGCAATACTGCAGGAAATCTCACACAACTTGCATCATCACCTCCATCAAACCCCACTCCCAAGCCCCATGCGACCCTGTCTTTTCGTCCGTCGCGAGGACATCGAATTAAACATCCTCCGAATAGCAGATGTTCTCAAGGAACAACCGTCGGGTTTCTCCGTTCCCTTGTTGCTAGCACTGGTCGGAATGATCTCAGCCTTGGTTTTCGCATTCGGACCTCCTTTCCCTTTCCACGTTTTGGACCGTCGAATATCCTTACTATGTCGCGCCAAGATAGGTCCCTTGTCTGTGTCCGGAGTTGCTGGCTTGCCTCTCGATACACTTCGTAAACTCATCTCCTGACTCTTTCCAAGCTTCCTATGGACTTTCTCGTCGGCACATGTCGCTCCCGTAACAGACTTAGCAGAATAGCCTGCGGTGCTGAGGCTCACACAGCTGGAGCGTCGGTACAACCCCGGCCGGCGGCTCAGATGTCTCATAAGAGACCCAGGACTATGGAAAATGTCCCCCTTGCCTAATGTCATCCCAGGGTACGGCAGAACGTCCCGCGTGTAGAAAGCAGATATGGCACGTTCTAGGAGTATTCGATCCTGTCTTCTGGCAGTCAGTACAAGGGCTGGGCACAAGGCAGACATCTTCGGCCGCTCGATTTCCCCGTCCACAGATTCCGTCATCTGGAGTCTTTGTGGGCAATGCGTCTTTTTGATGATGATGTTCTGTGAATCAGGTAGAGTCCGCGATGTAGCCAATGCCTGCATAGACGGTCGGCGAGGAAGAAGAGGCAGAGCACCGTTGCTGCAACTCAATGGAGCCAGCTCCAGAGACTGAAATGAGTATTCTTTCAGCTTCGCTACCACTGACTTCGGCATGTCAGTTAATGCGGCTGCAGACCTGAGCATCTCGGTCTCCCATTTCTTTTCTTCGCGTGCCGAGGCAGCACTGAGCACCACTTCGTAGTTCTTGCCCTGAGACTGGAAAATCAATTTCCAGGAGTAAAGACAGCCATAGCAACGAAGACCTATCACAGAGTTTAGCATTCAAAATGACCCTTATAGGCAGTTTCCTCACCTTCCCCGTTTCTGATCGAATCAATCTTCATGTCAGGAATATACACACATGCTAGTGGCTCAAGCCTTCGGTAGTCATTGCTCGGTTTGGCTATTACGAGATGATAGGTGAACAGAATGCAGACCATGTATCCTCCCGTAATATACTCAGGGGTTTGGTATGTGATGTGAAGGACCCCGCACAGGCTCAGAGGACCCAGTTGCTTGTAGATGTTATCGATCGCGTTCTGTAGATTCAAACCACCTCAGTTTCTATATCCTGTAGGGAGATGTGGCATACTTACGGATGTTGATAGGTCCATGAAGCTCTGTAGCAAGAAGGTCTTCTTCACTAGTGCCTTGCTAATGGGGTTATCGGTGATTTGATTTATTTCGCATACCACCGCACGGACTTGTTCAAGGACTTGCCGGATGCCGTCATGGGCCGATGGGTCGTCTTGAATATGAGTCCATCGTAATAGTTCCTCAAGCAGCAAAGGATACTTGCACAGACGTTGAATTGGCTGTTTAACGTTAGCATCCAGAAGCAGAACCAAGGGTGTCTATCCCGACCTTGATCAGGAGGTCATTCAGAGACATCGCTTTATTTTCCTCTTGTGTCTGCCTTTCCAATGATGCAACCGACTTCGATAGAGCCTCAATGCCCTGGTCGAATATACGCCAATCCGGTACAGACTGGCGCAGAAGACTCACATCTACTGTGAGCAAGCCATAGTTCTTACAGAACACTTTGTAAGCGGTGAAAGATGCCGACTACCCATATCATGTCAGTAGCTGACGAATATATAAGCCTCCTCGGGAAAACTCACCAGGTTGCCGACTTCTAGCGCAACTTGCAAGGCCTCTTTTGTCTCCGCAGCCAACGCCCTGAGACGCGAATCTATAGAAGTCCTAAAGCTACGTGATCGCAGAGACTTGGCATGCAAAGCCCTCAAATCAAAGTCAATTGCACTCAGGCGCTTGTGAACACCCTGAGGCATCAAGGTATCGAACTCGGCTGCTGCAAGGTTCGATATGGGCGTCAGCTTTCGAATCTGGGAGAGGAAGTCCTCGTGCGTGTCACGGATCTGTTGAATATTGTGGTAAATCTCCGGCCTGACAGAAAATATGAAAAGGGCCTACAATCAGAGTAAACGTTAGCTATCCGTACGTAGCAACATGTGCCTATACTTTAGTTTGAAGGTAATCATACATCAGCCAGTGCTTTCAAGCCGAAAATATAATCACATTCGGTAGTGATCAGTTCCCGGAGAACACGACGCCTCTTAATTGCCCTGTGCTGAGCTTCCTCATCGATTGAAGGATTCAAGGCAGGTCTGATGCTGTCTAGCGATTCACGGGCATCAGATCGTATGCTTTGATTTGTTGTGCTCTGCGTGGTACCCCTCGATCGTACCACACTTTGGCTAGTAATGCTCAGAGTGGCCGTCTTAACGGTTCCAAGATTGGACGAACGGTGGGACAAGGATTCCCATTGCTTTTCCTGGAACTCATTTGAGGTTAACAAGTCTGGTAGAAGGTCCCGATTATCTGGCTTGACTTCCGTCGGCCAACCCTCGACGTATCTTTCGGGTGGGGGACAGCCTCTTCGGGATCGGAAGCTATTCATCCAACGCTTGAAAGCAGCCACAGGATCTACTGGCATAGGATGCGTTGCAGTTATCTCCACCACATATTCGGGCTTCTCCAGGATCAGCAACGGAGGCTCCCCCATATCCTTGGATTCTTCCATTGTGCAGAGTGTATGTAGAAGTGAACAAACTCCACGTGAGGGTGTGAACTCAGAAGCAGGTTATGCTTTGGAATCAGGATCACAGGAGAGCACGTGTGTCATGAATCGTGTTGCTTGCTGGCAAGTGGAAGCAGCGACTGGCACAGTCCTTCACATGGGGAAAGCATGGTATACTTGCTGTCGCCGGGGGAGCTTACGTGTTGGATCAAAACGTCCAGTGCGAACAAACGCAAAGCGTATGAAACCCATCACAGTAGGTTAACAAACTTACGGTAATGTTCTGAGTAAAGTTGCCTCTACATCATGCACCGCTCGGTTGAGAATCAAATTGCAATGTGTTTGGTCCTACCACACGGTAACGGCCTTTCATTGCTCCCAACGATAAAACGACGGGCATCGACATCATCTGTGCACGTTTAGCCAGACTCTTCAGGTAGAAAAGGTCAAGGCGGCGAAACTAGTGAGGGTGGACGGTTCACAACTTGGTAGGTGTTGTTCATGCTACTTTTGAGGCTTCTAGATGTCAATTTAGCGGTAGCATAGTAGTAGCAGATAGCAGTTTGATATAGCATTTTCAGCCAAATAGACACTTTTTCTAGATACCTGACATTATTTCTGACTTCCATTTACAGTAAATTCATATCAACTTCAATCTTTGCAGAGAAATGGATGATGGTGTTGCGCAGTTCTCTTCACAGCGCGCGATGCCAAGAAGATGAAACTCCCCCAGATTTCCCACCGAAAGACCCACCGCCGTTTTCCGGGATCCGTCTGCGACAGCTCTCGCCGCCCGGCCCTTCCTTCATCTTCCATCCAACCAACGATGTTTTAAACCACCTCACACTCACTCTAGTATGGGAATACCCATGGGTTCAAACATTCATGCCCCAACAGTAGCCTCCGGCCCTACGTCCGGAGGCGCTCCTCCTCGCGACCTGTCCAAGCTCGGCATGGTCGATCTCATGCAAGAAAAGGAACGCATCGAAGAAGAACTCTCGGCTTTGAGTAGCGTCCTCGGCTCGGTGAGTTAAATCGATCTTGGACAAGCCTTGCCACTCTGTGAGACGTCGACTGACGATGCTTTCTGTTCTAGCATGGCGTTAATATGAACACATCTCTCACTACTTTCGATGGCTTCCCACGAGACGATATCGATGTTGCCCAAAGTGAGTCACTGCTCTACGCCCCCGCAGTGCCTTTGCTAAACACTAGTTAGTACGCACTACTCGAGCCCGGATTATTCGACTGCGGAACGATCATAAAGACGTGATGTCACATCTGGAGAAAGGAATCCACAACCACTTTGCGAATTTGCAGCGGGCGCAAACTGCCGTACAATCGGGCGGCGGTCTGAATGGTACATCGGGGTCACAACCTAGTGTGTCTGGCAATAATACATCCGGTGCTGGGACATCTGGGTTACCGTTCGCAAAGGTCAATAGTGTGGTGCCTGGAAGTCCCGCCGACCAGGCAGGTCTGAGGGTGGGAGATACCGTTCGGGAGTTCGGAAGTGCCAACTGGCTTAATCATGAACGTCTTTCCAAGGTGGCGGAGATAGTGCAGCAAAGTGAAGGGGTAAGTTGGAGATTTCCTTCCAACCTTCTGGTTCCAGAATCCAAGGACATACACTTGCGGAAAGCCCCAAACTAACATCTTCTAGCGCACCGTGGCGGTCAAAGTCGTGCGGAAAGATCCTAGTTCTTCCAGCAGCATTGACTTGTCCCTGCAGTTGGTCCCTCGCCGTGATTGGGGCGGTCGGGGCTTGTTGGGCTGTCATCTCGTGCCGTTGTAGTGGACTGGCATCGGGTTAGGCACGAGAATGACGGCTGTCTACTGTACTCTGGGATAGTCCCCGGAATACTAGGACTTACCCGGGTGCGATCTACTTTCGTTGATGAATTCTCCTTACTGCTTTCTTGCTATTGGACTCTGATGAGGAATGTGACATGTATTCATGATCGAACGTGACGTGTTTATTATTGCCGGGAAATACCTAGGGAAGCATTTAGGGTGGCGTTTCAGTTATGGTTCAAGAATGAAATTGCACCTGTTCATATGGACGTTAATGATCAATTCCGTACAGCGTAGAGGGTTCACTCGCAAAGAACCGTGTGGATCGACAGCGAGACATGCAACAAATGCAGTTTGCGCGATCCTGCGGGGCACGGTTGGCTGCCTGAGGCCCAACAGTGCCACGTGACCACCAGGCTTGGGCGACCGACTCACGGCAAAAATTCCATCACCGGTAGAAATAACCTTCCCACTCTAACTCCTCCCTGTCCAACCCCCTCGTTCTATCGAACCCCCCTCGATCGCTTTGTCCATCGAGTGTCGCATCCCACTGTCGACTTTTAATCTCCGTCGACTTTCATCGCAAATTCTGTTTTCTTCTTCTCATCTCCATCCCCCCCCACATCACATCCAACCTTCATCATGGCTGAGCAGGTACCGACCTTCAAGCTTGTCCTCGTCGGTGACGGTGGTACTGGAAAGGCAAGTTAAATCAAGATATTTCTATCCCACACGGCTTACTGGGCGGAGGTGGCATGTCGCCTCTTCGACGCCTCTTAACGCTCGACTGCATTCCTGTCATGCGTGTTTACCCCTCTCTGTTGCCCGTCGTCCCTATCAACAGAAAAACTTCAATGCCCGCCCAACCTCACCCGCCACGAGACGTCATTACTGACTGGAGAAATTTCACTACAGACCACCTTCGTCAAGCGCCACTTGACTGGCGAGTTCGAGAAGAAGTACATCGCCACTCTCGGTGTCGAAGTGCACCCTCTCGCTTTCCACACCGTATGCCCCGCCGGAAACCCCGCTTTGTCCATTCCGCCGTCTTTGTGCCGGTCCGACTAACGCTTTTGCCAGAACCTGGGTAACATCCAGTTCGACGTCTGGGACACTGCTGGTCAGGAGAAGTTCGGTGGTCTTCGCGATGGTTACTACATCAACGGACAGTGCGGTATCATCATGTTCGATGTTACCTCCCGTATCACCTACAAGAACGTCCCCAACTGGCACCGTAAGTGCTCCTACTATCAAGAATCAAACCACGCGCGTCTCGATATCAGACTGACACATCCATTCTAGGTGATCTCGTCCGTGTCTGCGAGGGCATCCCCATCGTGCTGTGCGGTAACAAGGTCGATGTCAAGGAGCGTAAGGTGAAGGCCAAGACCATCACCTTCCACCGCAAGAAGAACCTCCAGTACTACGACATCTCCGCCAAGTCCAACTACAACTTCGAGAAGCCCTTCCTCTGGCTCGCTCGCAAGTTGGTCGGCAACCCCCAGCTGGTGAGTTAGATCCGATCATTGGTCTGTGAGACTGAATACTAACAAGCATTTCTCAGGAATTCGTTGCTGCCCCCGCTCTTGCTCCCCCCGAGGTCACCGTCAACAAGGAGCTTCTGGCCCAGTACGAGCAGGAGATGGACGCTGCCGCCAACATGCCCCTGCCCGACGAGGAGGACGCCGATTTGTAAACGCGCGATCAATGAAGGCTGGGGCCAGAGCCTGGGCCACGAGCTCGGGCTCGTGGTTGCAGTTCTGTCCCAATAACTGGGTACGTTATGCAAGATTTCAAATCACGATACAATGATAGCGGAGGGAAGGAAATTAAGCCCGAGAACGGTCGGCATGATTATGCATTTGCAATATTTACCACTAGTAGTCTAGACTCTGATTATCTCTACAAAGTTCCTTTTTGAAACGGTGACACTGTTTATCCGTCCATCGGCTATACTGTTGGACGAAAAAAAGTTTACATACTCTCTCTCTATTCTCTTCGCTTTTTCTGCTGTATACAGTGTGTAAATTTGAATCTCATAATATCCCAATTCCCCCCTTACTTAGATAGAACACAAAACCAACCCAAAAACCAAAAACCAAAATAAACCCCAACAAACTCAATCGCACCGCTAACAGCCCCCACCAAACTCAGCATATAAAATTTATTCCCACTACCCACTGATAATACAATCGAATACATACCTAGGTATTCCTCATCTCCCTTAGTACACTCCAATATGCATAACCCGCCGATCAATAGAAAGAAAAAGAAAAGTGTGGACTTTCCTTTCACCCCACCCACATCAATAACACTGTGACGTCACCGGTGTGATTATTGATCAGGCTGAAATGAACGTGTGTGTTGGGTTGAGATTGACATCCTTGCTTATACTACCAAAACTACTATGTAGATAACTAAACTTTGTGCTTAATTGGTGTCTGGTTGTGGGGTTTGGGTTAGTTTGGTTTATTTGGTTTTGCATGTTAATATTCACCACCTAGATTATGGGGTAGAGAGCATAGTCATGTTCGATTAGGCAATGTTTGCATTCTAGTAGTAGCTAGATAATTAAGAAGTAGGTAGGGTATTGAGGTGAAATGTGGCTGTAGATGAACAATCTCGGAAGTCGGTTTCCGAGATATTGTGAAGACAAACATTGTTCTTCTTCTTTCTACAGTAAGCTAAACAAAAAGTTCATTCTAGACATGATATGGCAATGTTGTGCAGGGGATGGCTGATGAATACGAACACAAACTGTGGGGAGCAAATGGGAAGATGCAGGGAAGTGCAAACAATGAGGACAGTAAGTAGGGGTAAATGAAAAGGGGAAAGGGGTCTAGGGTATCTTGTGCTGGGAATCCGCAAACGCCATGTAAATATCAGATTAATGTAAAGGAAATGATTAAGAGCGGATGTTCTGGAGGCGAATCGGTTAGTAAAACTGTAAGAATATATGCAGGGTGGCTGTTGACTTACAAACAAAAATTGGAGTTCGCGGGCTCCGAGTCTGGAGAGATTGCTCGATGCCTTCTCGTCCAGAGCACCCTCGACAAGCTCCCGCTTCTTATCCTGCAATTCAAGGATACGGTCTTCGACGGTATCCTTCACGACAATGCGGTGGATCTGGACAGGACGAACCTGTCCAATGCGATGGGCACGGTCGACTGCCTGCTCTTCGACATAGGGGTTCCAGAAGGGGTCGAAAA